CCTGGCGCAATATGGTTCATGGGGTCACGAAGAGTCGGACACGACTTAACAACTGAACAACAAAAATATAATCTCCAATAGGTCTTGGGGAATGTATGTATTTTGACTGCACATTGTGCATTCTCTGGTCATTATTCATAACAACACTTCCAAACAGCTATGCATCTCTACAGTCTCCAAGAAACAGTAGAAAGTGTACTAGAAGTTGATTGAGGCATAAAGTGTCCAAGAAATATTCTGAGACGACAGAATTATCATCAACTGAACACCTCACAGAGAAAACCAAAGCCACTTTCTCACATGGAACCAGTTTTTAAGTCTGTGCTGAAAATATGTCAGCAGTTAGCCTAAGATTTGATAGAAATAGCAAAACTGCAGTTACCATCTAATGGCTGGGGATAGAAACAGTGGGAGTTGAGTAATGAGTGGGTGGTTGAATATGATCAACTAGAGCCTTGGGTAGTCTTAAGCAATCCACAAATATAATAGTTAAGCATTTATGTAGCACTTTCTCTAAGAAATTCATATACCTGTAGCTTTCATTGGAGCTCAATGAGATCATAAAAGGTATAACATTGGAGCCTTGGGTGTCACATTTTTTAGTTACATTAACTCTCACTTGCATTATGCTCCCTGAATTTTATAAGCTAATTCCAAACTTATGCTTAGTAGCATACACATTGATGTAATTGATATGATTATATGGTCAATGTGGCAGTTTCAGTTTATCCAACTGATTAAGCAAAGACATGCTATGAGAAGTACTAGGATGTATTTTTCTCACTGATTCGACATATAAGTAAGGCACTGCCCATTAGATGTGTGCACTCCTTATAACTATGCAATAAGTTCTGATTGTAGTAAAATCTGACATGCATTAATGGCTCCAAGTCTTTATAGGACTTCAATTGCACTTCAATTGGAGCATAATTTTTACAATTATCCATGCAGTATCTTCCAGCACTTTTTGGCTCCTTGATCTTCACTACCAGTTCTGAGTTTTCTGCCAACTTTGGTTCGTGAAAAGTTTGACCCTTGAGGCATAACCATTTTAAAAATTGTGTTGAAATGCTATAAGGTACAATGCATTTCACCCAATTTTATATCAGTTTCTTGAAGAGGCTCTTAATAAAAATTGCATTTTTGCTAAGTGATTGGTTGCATGAATCATGTACTGTACGTGTATTGTTCATGAATCAAATTGAGAGCCATTTAAAAATGACTAGACATTAGGGAAACCTAATAGCTTTTTAACAGATTATTTAAATTACTGGAGCTATGATTTCCAATCATTTTTATCCAAACAGCGGAGGTGCAGAAGGCTTGGTGGAATTTTCTTTGAAAAGAAACTTCCTGATTAAATTCCTTTTTGTTGCTGGATTTAGTTTTACAGACCCCTCCCTCCCCATGAATTTTTCAGTTATATATTCATATTTGGCATCTGGAACATAATAGTATAATAATTTGACCAACCCAGATGAAAAAAATGGTAACTTGAGGGCAATCCATTCTATGAAACATAGTAAAGCAGGAAAAAAAGATTTTTTTTCTGAAGTGCCACTTGATTGACCAACTCAGATATAGAATTTTGCAATCTCTGGCCTAACAGCCTGGGATATTGTCATGCATTTAGACAGCAACATGACAACATTCTTATAGTATATGTACTATAACTTAAATGGGAATTCCTTCATGCTGACTAGGAAACCATGTAATACTTCGGTTTATAGTACCTGGTATTGCCAATATAGAAGTTGCATTGCACAATACTAACTACATTCATGGTCGCTTCCTTGCACATTCCTAATATAAATTCTATTTTGATTTTGTTACTAATAGCAAGCAGCTTTAATTACCGTGTGAATGTTTTCTTTATTTGGAAGAAATATTGATGAACTGTAGCCTGACCTTATCCCTAATGATTTGAAAATAATTCCAATACTTCATATAGTATTGCTACTAATGTTTAATCATTATAGAGAAATTTAATTATTTTGGGAATTTTACAAGCAGTTACATACTAGTTCAGATTGATAATGGAGTCAGAGAACTGAAAAGAACCAAACTTTGATGTCTTATGCAATCATGTTTGGTTCAGCAGGCCTTTCTTCAACTTTCAGATTAAGAAATCCATAGGATGGTGCTCCTGAAGCACCCTGATTCTATATATCTGATCCAACACAATAGTTTGTTAAAAGTTGTGTCCAAGTTGATAAAGAGTAACCATAGTGTAGCCATTCTATTGTGTTTTCCCAAAATCAGTAATTGAATTCAAGATTACCAGGTAGAATTTAATTCTAGTGATCTTTAAGAATGCACAATAGAGATGCTCTTAGTATATCTTGTCATTTTCTCAATCCCGCAGCACATTTGCCTCATGAAAAATAACAAAATATTTTATGAGAGTAGCTGCAATAATCATGCAATGCTAATCTGGTTCTGAACCTGTATCTAAAAACAACATAATACCAAGATTTGTTACCAGACATTATTAGTGGCTGTCTGTTGATCTTTAGGAGAAGGCACTAATTCAAATTCAAATTCAAATTTAAATTTCATTTTTTTTTTCATTTCCGTCAGGTTTAAGGAACAATTATTAAAGGAAATGCAGAGAAAAACACTTGATTTACCTAAAGAGTTGACAAAGGATGGAGCTGTTATTTAAAGCTAAGCTTTTTAATGTTCATATTGCGGAAGCAGTCAAACTTTTGGGGCTCATGGATATGTTTGAAATTCTGAGGAAGTATTGGGGTACCAGTGGCTGTTATAGCAGTGTGGCTATCCACAAAATTGATTTTCTCCTAAAAACTGATATTCCTCCCACTAAAATCAATTGAGTTCCACTCTGTTCCTTTGGAAAGAAATTGATTTTCTTTATTAAAAAGTAATGTATTTTCCCTTTAACATTAATTGATATTGCCTTTAAAGTGAATTTTTCCCACTTTAAAATAAATTCATTTCTCCCTTTGAAATAAATGGATTCTGTCCCTGCAAAAGTATTTGATTCCCACTCTTTTAACTGCATAATAGTGGAGAGATTGAAAATAGGCAGGCTTGGTGACAGTAGAGAAGAGAGAATGGGTGGGAGAGTCTGAAGAAAGAAACCACATATACTTGACTAAAGCCATTTTTCTTCCTCCTTTTCCTTCTTCTCCATGCTGGCCCTCCTTATCCTACTCTGGGATGATGACAAGCAAAACTGGCACTGTCATAGCCACCAGAGCTATCTTGAAAGCTTCTTCAGTATGAGGCTAATGAATCTTCTTCAGGAGCACACCAAGGAGAATGGGAGCCAGCAATGTAATCATACTCTCCACCATTATTACCACTACCACCATGTTCTCTGTGTCCTTGAAAGATGGAGCCATGTCCACCAAAACACTATATTGGTAGTGGCATTCAAGTTTCCAGAAACAGGAGGTCCATGATGATTGAGGGGGCGGTAGGCAATCTCTTCCCAGCCCCAATCTTGCAGGTATGCTAGTAAACTGCTATGAGCACCTGTGGGTGTTGCATTGCTAATCCAGCCACTATAAGAATGATTTAGCAGATAGAATTAATGCAAGTAGAATGTCAAAGCAATTCCAACATGCCAAATTTTTCATGAAGGAGTGCACTTTTTTGAAAAATGCTCCTCTGCTATCAGTTTGTGATGCTTGTCCAATGTGTTGAAGAAGGCTGGGAATGTCTCATCATATTCTGGCATCTACTTTCAGGGATTTGAGTACTAAGGATGCGTATGGATATTAGCTACAGTCCAGCAAAAAGGTTATATGGAGCTCTCTGTTGTATTGCAATAATTACTTATGTATGGCAGGCAATATAATATCCATGCTTCTCAAACATACATATGGATGCCAAATGTATATGCATTTCTTTTTGTATAAATATTTTTAAAATTGCAACTGGGATATGAAAAAAGCTGGTATAACACATATTGAACTCTTGGATCACACAATTGTCTTTATATAATTAGTGCTAAAAATTTTAGCACTCACTGTAAAGCTAAATGAAACAATCTTTCAAGTATAGTTGGAGGATCTTGATTATAATAAAACATGTATTTTAAGTTTACACATTGGCACATTATGACAAGGTCATAAAAATATGCATCATGGTAGCATCTGATGGGGGAAGTACTGTGTGCAGAAGTCTACTTGCCTGTTTTCTTATAAATTGATTGCATAATGTTTATTGTAATGACAATTTTACAAAGAAACATGTAACAAAACATTTATTTTATCAAAACTATAGATATAGCATGAGTGTTCTGTATAAAACACCTCTGAAAAACCTGATCTGTAATTCTTCAATAATAGTTTCTAAGTAACTAATATAAATGTTTCTTCTTAGTTGCTTTTGATAAAACAAATGATAGTTAATGATCAGAATGGCATCTCCTTATATGTTGCAAAATATTTATATATATATTTTTGCTTTTGCTTTGTATCCTAAGTTCTATCTGGGCACATTGACTATTTTCATTTTTATTGTAGTGCGTTGAGAACCTTCTAACATGTCCTTAAGTAAATACAAAGGGCATTGGAAAGGAAAGAGGAAGTATAATTTTGGTTGTTACTGTTGTCACTAAGATTTTCATGGTTTCTGTGCACACTGGGTATCATTGCACTTTTACTGCCCTGTGCTAATAGGAGTGTCACATACCATTAAGATAATACCAAATAAGTGAAAATGAAGTAAAAAAGCAAATCTGATTTTCATGATTATTGGACTTCTTGTGCATTATATATATATAATGCATAATAAATAATATTTAGGACGGAAATGTTTAGTGCTATCATATAGAGCTGGAGTTTATCTTGGTTCATTTTGGTTGTGCTCCTTCATAAGCAATTTCTAGCCATAGTTAGACAAGTACTTCACATTCGTGGAATAGAATTACATCAAACTTTATGAAGGAGTTGTAGGTCTGGGACATATTAGCTTATGCAGTAAAGGTAAAATATCCTAATTGATATGATTAGAATATTGATAACTATGCTCACTTAAAACCAGACAGACAATGATTTCCTGAAAAAATCACATATTGAAAAATATCACATATTTATATTAAAATTCCAATTTTATTTGAAATATGCTTTTTTGTTAGCACCTTTGGTTCTTATGTTTATATGGACAAGGGAGCAGGGAGGGTGCCCAGTACTTTGAATCTTCCCAGAGTGTGGTTGGAATTTACATGAGAGGAGCAAGCACAATTCTGCAGGTGAATACACAGGGCTGTGGTTTACATGGGAGCAAACAACATGAGATCACTGATAAACTTTCTTGTTGGTTTTAGATGTTGTGAATATTGAGGATGTTATTCCCCGATGCCCTTCCTGAAAGCAATTTTTGCATTAGTTCACAAGAAGTGACTACAGGTATAGGATGGAGAAAGAAAAAGAAAAATCCTTTTCTTGTTGGAGCTGCCATGCATGTGGGAGAGGAACCACATTCAAGTTAAAGGGTACCTTCATTCTTCTACAATGTTCTGAGAGCTGCAGGTCAAAAGAAGGTGTGGCCAAGTGAAAAGCAGGCAGGGAAAAGCTGGTAGAGCAAAAGTGAAGTCAGTATGAAAGTAGACAAACACCCTTACTTCTTCACTGGCAACGAATTGGACATCACGTACATTGGAAATCTATATATGTCCTTGAGCCTGTGGCTCTACTAAAGATTTGTAAATCTTCTATAAGCTTCTTTATATTCTTCCTAAATAACAACAGCCACAACAATTCTTAAGATGTTTTCCTTTCCAATGAAATTTTTACCTTTATATAATCATGACAAATACCAAATACCCAGCTCAAATATCATTATTCGTAAAAAAATGTACAAACTCTTCAACTTTTCAAGAATAAATCATTTAAAAAATAAACCACCAGCAACAGGAGAAAAAGCAAATACATCATCCTGGCTTTTTGGCCTTCCTCTGGGTTTCTTTTCTTGCAGCTTTGATTCAGATAGCTTTAAATATATCTTACTTTTTAGACTGCTTACATTCATCATTTCATTAATCCACTATATATAATTCAGGTTGGTGAGTATTTTTGTTTTTGTTTTTGTTTTTTTTTTGCAGTTGACTATTTTTTTATTTTTTGCATTTGTCACTCCATAATGGCTCTGGACAGCATGCAACATTAAAAGCAATACAAACCATCATAACCAAGAAAGAAGGTAGATGCCCAGCATGCTTTTAAGTGTTCCAACATTTGCATTCTGGAACAGCTGCAGCTTCTGAGTGGCCTTCAAGGGCAGCCCCATGTAGAGCGCATTGCAATAGCCCACACCAAGGGATGACCTTATCCAGCATATTCACATACATGTTAAGCAGGAGGAGTGAGAGTGTCAGACCCCAAGAACTTGATCTTTCCCATACCATCAACACTATGTTAGTGAATTAAATAAATTATTTTTCCATTTGCTATATCCAGAACAAGGAAAATATAATTTATTTTTATTCTCTTTATTTCAAATGGATTGCTTTTAATAAATTAATTCATGCAACCACATAATGTTTAATTTTGCCTGAAGTTGCTAGTAAGAAACAAGTTTTTGAACGCAATTAACTCTGGGAACCTTCACACAAGGTTTTTGTACTCCTTTCAAATTGGAGTTATAGCAGTTTTCCAGTTGAGAAGGAACTGGTTTATGTGGGCTGTTTCCCATTGGTGAGTACATTTGTGGCACCCTGGCTCCTGGACTCAACCCAACCTATCCTCCCCCACCCCACGTTTCAGCTGTATCTCACAGGAGATGAACATGCAGAAGAGTGAAATTACCTTGGCAGCTTTGCAGCCCCCTATAGCAACCACTCCGATTTTTTGGAGAAACCACCAGAAAAATGCACTGAAACCGAAATGTGAAACTGAAACGTGGAGAGGGGAAGGGCACTATTTGAATGCCATTTTGTGCACTCTGACAGCTGGAGGGAGCACTGGGGGGTGCACTGATTGGTTTACAATTTCTTAGCTGCTTCTGAGGAGTTGAGGAGTAGGAATGATAGAAGCATGGAAGTGCTCTTTCTTAGTGTTTTAGATCTTATTTTAATAATGAAACTCACATCTGTAGTTTACAATAAATAATTCAATAATTGTTCTTGTTAAAGCTGATGCTGCCTCATTTTTCATAGAACCAAACTGCATGTTACAATTAACCAGATCAACACCAAACAAGAAATTACTTTATTCAGTTTCTGTCTGCCTATAGAAAGCATAAGAATGAGAGGAAGAAACTCTGGGTTATCACCAATATATGCCACCTACAATATGGTTCTAGGAAGAAGGCAATGGCAAACTACTTCTGAAAATGTTGCCAGGAAAACTGCATGGACTCATTCAGGTAGTCACAAGGAATCAAAATTGACTTGAAGGCACATGCACCCAATACAGTTCAGCCCTGTTACTCAGTATAAACACAAACTTTTTATGGGGGGAGGGTTGATTGGTTTGTTTTTGCACGATCTCAGTGAGAGCCAGTTTGGTGTAGTGGTTAAGGCACCAGGCTAAAAATGGGAGACTGTGAATTCTAGTCCCACCTTAGGTACAAAGCCAGCTTACAGAGAAGGCAATAGCAAATCACTACCAAAAACCTTGCCAAGAAAACTGTAGAACCATTAGTCCAGGCAGTCACCAGTGGTCAGTACTGACTTGGAGGCACCAAAATAAATAAATAAATAAACAAATGAAATCTTAGTGCAGTGCAGGGCAATCACTCTTCCTTGCTCCATTGATAGATCCCATGTGTTGGGATGCTAGATGGATGCCATGATCTGCAGAAGAGAGGTTTAGAATGGACAGTCATCACAGTATATTTTTTAAGGTGACCAGGTGTAGAGTTCAATGCAGTGCTGGGGAAGAAGTTTCCTACAGGACTCAAAGACCTCTGGGAAAAGGCCTTGATATTTTATGCTTCTTATATAGCAGGAACTGACTGTGGGATTCCTTAAGATGGCACAATCTTTGGGAGCAAAAACTGTTTTTGAAATCTATCAGATTGTGATAGCTTTGTGGGAAGCGTTTATTTCAGTCTTGTTAAAAATATTAAGCTACCTCATAAACATAAAATGTTCGAAAGAGGTTTACTATTTTTTGAAGCAATATTTCATGTATGATGAGATTTGACTTTATATAGAATGCCATTGCAAATTGCTTTAAAAAGGCATGTATTACAAACAACATATACTATTTTGTGCAGAATATAAAGAAATCTGAAGCAGCATCTGCAGAGAAAGATATTTATTGGGAAACTATTTGTAAAGTTCTGAAGCGCCACTCACTGAACTCAGACAAACCATTGAAAATATGGCCTGTCTTTGCAAACATCGTGGATTTGGAAAGCTGGCAGACTGCCTGGTTCCTACTTAAAGGATTGTCATTCAGGGAAAATAAATTTATCTAACCAGACAAAAATCAATGTTTTCATGTTTTACTGCAATCAGACTGATATCACTGATAATTTAAAATCTTAACACATATAATATCTATAGATAATCAGTTACTTTAATCAATTGTACATCTAAGATGATTCCTCTTTTTAAAGTCTGTATAAATACCTTTAAGATATTTAATAGTTCAGATTTTGTCCTTTCCCCCTTTAATATTTTGTCGAGCAACAGAGAACTTTGTTTTGCATGTATTAGTGGTTCCATTTGGAAATGGCTTTTTTACAAAATTACAACAAGCCTGCATATAATCAGAACTGCAAACCTTGCTTTTAATGTTCCCTTCTATTTTAATTTTATAGATATCCTGTAGCCTGCTCGCCTGTCAAGGAGTTGTGGAAATGTGCTGGCATTCCAGCTGAAGACATCATTATGAGTGAGAAAATGCTCAAGGCCTTTTTTCAAAGTGGGCGGTGAAAGAGATGCTTTCCTTCTTTGACTCCAGGGGATGCTAAGAGCTGCCCTAGCAGACAGGTATTGTAAGGTCAGCAATTGTGTGTATGTGTGAGTACATGTGCATGTGTGTGTGCATGCGCACAAGCATTTATAAAAACACAGGATTTTACTAGAATGTGGGGAAGATTTTTTTTTTTTTTTAATGAATGAAGATGCACCCTCAGCAGAAAAGAAGGCATTGACAAGAAAGGATAATAAACTTGCCACGAAAGAATTCTGGGCAGCACAATACTGGCAGAAGTGATTTTAATATCTGACAGGCTAAGTTCCCTAATCTTTGCTATTGATATTGATGGGAAGCTTCATCTGCTTTTAGAGATTGTATCGGTGAGGACATGCTGTGCTGCTCGCATAACATGGGAACAAGTTTGCTGGAGATCACTGCTCTTCTTCCTCTGTGACAAAAATTGATATGAACTGTTTTAAACTGCTGGCAGATAATTACTCTGAACACTCAATAAGGAAAGCTATATCTTTAGAGTCTTCCTTTATCTTTTTTAAAAAATCCACTTTTTCATCCTCTTTTGTTTCTTTGATTACTTTGAGCCTTGTAATCAAACTAAGCTTAGTTCCTGCACCCTTGGGGCAGTATCTCTTAGTTCCCTGTCAAGCGGCGTTGCAAAACAATCAATCTTGCTCTCGCACTCTCTTGGTGGAAGTGCCACAACATGAAGAGTGCAATGCTTTGCTCTTGTGATGAAGCCTCAATGACAAAAGTTTTTATAAGCAGCCGACTGTATTTAGGGTTATGAATATGCAATGACTCTCATTAGTATTGAAGCATAAGAACAGAGGCTGACATCCCCCCCCCCTGCATTGAGCTGTTGCAGAATTGTCTAATGAATTGTCTTGCTTGTTCACTTGCACAGCCCTTTTCTGTTGTTACCCCAGTTCCAAGGGGAGTTGCCCAGTTTGAGAATACTATTGACCACAGAAATTAATTGCCAAGAACTGCTCTGGATTTTGCTAAATAATCTCAAAACAGTGTTTAAATTGTCAAAACAGAAGACATTCAGCTCTACATGAGATAAACTCAACATGATGGAGGAGACCTCTATGTCATTAATTTGGACAAGAACTTTGCTCACAGACAGCACAAGAATTTGGAGATATGGACTTTCTCCTCCACCCCCCAGATCCCAAACATAAAATCAACAACAGTAGCTGAATTCAAGCTGCAGGTATCTGATTTCTATTTGGTACTTTGTCTTCTTCATAGAAAAAAGAGAGATGATGGATCTGCAAACAACAGCTATTCACATAGCATAGAACTATTTGGTGAATCCTTTCAAGACTTTTTCCAACACTTTTCAATCTAGAGCAGCCCAACGCTTTGTAGTGCACCTATGCACAATCTAGCATGCAAGTGATACTGATGAAAATGTTTCCAGCAAACTGATTAAGATATCCTCTTTGATGTTTAGTATCCAAGAAGCTTCAAAACACCCTCCCATATACGGCTCAGTAAGATAAATTAAACTCTTCACCTTATTCTTTTTCATCAACCTCATAAACTGAATTTGGTGCTCACAGATTATAAAATTATAAAATGATAAATTCTTGTAAGAAGGCATAAATAGAAGATTAAAAGGTTGAGAAGCCTATTCATTCATTTAATTTGTAATTAAAAGAATCATATTTGTAGAAGGAATTGTTAACTTTGATTTATTTGTGTGGTAGCAGAGAGCAACTTCTTTGCTTAGCCCTCAAACCACTTAATCATTTTTTTTCATTCTATGTGTATGTGTGTTTTATACATGCATTTTAAGAATAAACACAGCTGTGACAAATATGTCATACATCAAACACTTGTTTCCTCTGTCTCTTGGCCTTAGTGAGTGTATATGACTATGAACAAGTAAGTAATAAAATCTGGAGAAAGATGAAACCAATCGGGGCCTTTTTAAAGACCATCAATCATTCTCTGCAACCATGATATTATTAGCTCAAATAAACCTTGTTCTCCCATTTAATGGACATCACAACCTCCTCCCCCAATCCTAGTTTTATCCTGACACCAAAGCTACCATGGGAAATAATTTTTATGGGCATTATCTTAGCAAGGAACCAATCAGATTTAATCACATAACATGCTACTGAATAATTCAATACTCTTCCTAAATTTATATTCTAACTGTTCTTTGCTGTCAGCCCATACTTCGAAAACTATGTGGATTAAAAAACACACCCCATCCTATTACAGTAAGAAGACAATAGCATGTGATTTTTCATAATCAATGTATCTTCTAATTATCATTGGTTTCCACTGATGTCTGGCACATGTGAATATCCATGTAAAAATATTTGGTTCCTGGAATTTTTCTTTAATTATACTGCTATGAAATCTTAACTACTCCCAGCTGTAAAAATAGCAAGCTCAAGGAAAGCAAAAGTGAAACAATTATTTTGAAAACAAAATCTTTGACTACAGTATGGTGTGCAAATAATAACCAGCATGCCTCATAGATATTGTAATGAACCCTAGAACTGTATTATATGAAAATATTTCAGTTTTAATTGCAAACTGAAACTTTTAATTGCAAACTGAGTAAATATGATTTCGGATCTGTAATTAGCACATACATTCCAGATTTCATGACTGCTATGAAAACCCATAGTATTTATGGAATGATTATCTAAATATAATTCAGTGTTTCTTGTTTTCAGAAAATACTTCTAAAATCTGATTTAAGAATGAGAAAAATGATTAGTTCCTATATTTCTACTAGTTTCTTTCACCTGCTACAGTATAGACTTTAGCCATATTTTAAAGTATGTGAAAGAGAAATAATGTTATGTTCCAGATAATGTTATGTTAAAAAATAGTTATGTGCAAAGGTAGAACAGTCCAAGGAATGGATGTCTGTGATCCACAACAGATACATTTAAAAAAATCACTGCCACCAAGACATCCTCTTTCCGAGGATTTGGTTGAATTGGTATGGATTCAAAATACAAAGTTCTAATTTTACTGCAATGTGTAGAAGACACAGCTGTTTGTAAAAAAGCAGGGATAGCAGCAATACACAGATGAAATTTGGAGGAAGCAAGCTCTTCTGTCCTCTTTGGTACTTACTATGTATAAGTCTGTCATATTTTTTAATATAATTGGTTGTGGTCTAGGGTTGGAAACAATTATATTTTTTCCATAAAAACTGTTATAACTTGGCCCTGCAGATATTTATAAAAGGCAAGAATCAAACTCAGGAATACAATGAACTATATTAAAATTACTGCATTTAGTGCTGAATTTTTGAATATGACTCCTCTGAGTTGGATGAAAACGAAGACTGTAGTCCTATTGCTCATTACATGAAAGTAAGTTCCATTTACATTAATTAATATTTCAAACTTGTTCACTGTCCATCTCACTAGGAAGTGACTTAATATGACTTACTGTGAGCTAACATGTGTAAGTTTGTGGTATCCATTGCTCAATCTATTCCAGAGCGTCTTTTCTTCTTTAAATATGGAGAATACTTGTACCTCCACTCGTTTAACCACATATACACATGCATTTGAAATCTATGTGAGATAGTTGAGAAAAATTAATCCCTTGATTTTGTTGCCTTTTAACTGGATACAGGACTATGTCACACATTCCACACTGGCAAACTTATTATGTCTTAATGTGCACTGAGTGGATGCATCTCTGTTACACATAGGCAAAATAAATAAAATTGCTGCACATAAACATGTTAATTTTATGAGTACACATAATATTCTTTACACAGACATGTACAATGTGTACATTAATCTAGTAAATTCCACCTCTGAATGGTGCCCGAGCACTGAATATTGTTCATTTTCTGGAGGTAAAGGACTAGAGTAATGAACTAGATTGGCACTACATATTATCTGAATGTGGACTGAATACAAAAGTGAGTGACCAGTATACTGAGTTGTTTTGATCATATAGAAAGAATGAATGAATATCAAACTGCACAACAAATGTATACAGAAAGGATGAATGGGTCTAGAGGAGAGTGAACACAAAACGCTTTGGTTAGATAAAGACGATGAGACCCTCAAAAACAGAGGGGTGAGAAGTTACAAACAATTGATGAGTGATGTATGGATGAAGTGGAAACAAACATGCTTTGGGTATACACCTATGTGACTTTTGCAATTTAATCATTGATATCTTACTGGTGAAATGAAATGTTATTGCATTCTTAGTCAAATGAATATGGAGGAAGCTGATGAACTGAATACCATGTATTTTTCCACAATGGCCAAGACATATGTGTACAAAATCCCCAAGAAGGTAATAAGGACAGTAAGACAGTTGCACTACTTTTTTCCAGTGTCTTGTATTGTGAGATATCTTGCCTCTGAAATTAGGAGACCATAACTGGTAATCACAAGGAATTGTATACTCAATGAATTAGGCTAATGACTAATTAAAGCCAACTAAACTAGTGCTGTTATTCCATCTTGTGAAGCTGATTTTCATAGGTTAATCATTCCAAAGCAAAAATGATAATCTTTCTAGTCTCTTTTGGGATTCGACATGTAATGGTTTTGCCTACCAGAACTGCTTTGAGAAGCAGGTGGCTACAGGTCTAGAAATGACATCCTTCTTTTTGTCCTTGTGATGTTTGGTGACAGGGTAGAAATCATGCAAGGGCAATATCTCCCAGCCTCAGAGTCAATCTGGAATATAGACATGGATTGTGATATCAATGTCATGGTGCACATGCTTTGAGAAAGTCATTATGACGAATAATAGAGAGATTCAGTGGGAAGCCACTGAAAGCTGTAATTTAAGGTTCCAGAAGCCACAGTATTATGATTACCATTAAAATTTACAGTGACAGAAGCCCAATTACACATGGTTATTTTCTTTTCTTAAATCAAACTATATTTCTGCTGTGCATGAAAGATTCATTTCCTCCCACCAGTCACTGTCACGGGAACCTATTTTTGTAGCTTCTGGTGTCAGAAGAGATGGGTTAGCCTTATCTCTGTGACAATGAAAGGATCAATGAGGGTAGCAAAGCTGGAAGCCTCTTTGGAGCCAGCGGAGAAGACTCATTTGCATGATAATCAGCACTGGATCTGCTCTGGGCAAGCCTCACACTTAGCAAAGTGCAGCTCAAGTATAACAGCAGCCATGCAACAGAACTGAAGTAGGAGCTTCCCACTAATTTGGGGAAAGCTGGTAGGTAAAGCAGCAAAGTCAAGCTCGAGTACCAACTCTGATGCCCAGGCAAGATAAAAGTGGTTGAAGTTTCAATCTAGAAGGTTAGTTACTCATGGCCATTTGGTTTATGTAATTAATCTGGATGAGATGAACTAACCAATTACTTTATTTAAATAAATTTTCTCTAGTATTTATGTTTTTGGAAAATGTATTTACACAGAATCGCATGCTGTTCTGTTCAAGTCTCATGACAAATTGTACACGAAACTGTCATCTTTTGGTGAGTTAATCCGAGACTTCAGCCACATATCAATATTTTATTTATTACATTTTTATTATTTCCTCTGGGGAGCAATGGGAATCAATAGTTTTCCCTCCCTCCTTCCTCATTATGTTCTCACAACAATCTTATGTGGTAGATGAACAGCTCAAATGACCTACTGAGCAACTTCATTATTGAGTAGGGATTTTGATGTTGGATTTTTCTGAACTAAATCCAGTGGTTTATAATTTATTTTATTTTATTTTAAAATCTACCCATTTATATCATTAAAAAAAAAAGGCAGATTTCAAAGAAAACTCCCCATACCAGTTCTCAGTGTATTTTTTGCAGAAGACAGTAGTAGCATAGAAAGCTATTTTATCAACACTAGTAGAGCAACAGTTTTGGAGTCCAGCCCACTAGACTATGCCTATTGCCTACCATTGTCCTTTCATGACTATTCCTTTTGCTCCTGCTAATTTGGTTGAAGCTAGACTTGCTCTTCTGTAAATAGCAGGCCTCTTTCTATTTTGCAGAAGAATCTGAGTTCCAGTGGAGGTTTGCGTTGGCGGAACGAGGGTGGAAGAAGGAGGCAACTTCCCCTTTTCCCCCATAGCTCTAAGTGCTATTTTCCACACTATTCTAAAGGGCTTCCCTTATTCCCTAGAGAAGGTTTTCCAGTGGTACAAGTGCTGAAGTGGAAAAGAAGTACAGATGAAAATAATCTTCTCTTCCTTTGGTGGAGGAGGCTTCTGAACAGCATTCCATTTACTAGAATGCTAAATTCCATCTACTTTCATGATCAATGTTTCTTTTGATGACTTTGGCTACTCCAATTCTTTCCTTTTTTTTTTTGCCTCTCTGTGCTAAAAAAAATTCACCATATATTTTCAACTCTGGTGGCTCCATTCCCATTTTTTTGTCTGTCACATTACCTCTTCTTTCTCTGGAAGATCAGCAATTGATTAGAAAATACACCCTAATTCCTGTTCCCATGGTGAGTCATCTGGAAGCCTGTCATTCTCATGGTAAAAAGCAGGAGATAATTGTCTAGTAGCTTTACAAAGTTTCTGTATACTTCGATGTTTCTCTGCTCTTCAGTAAGGATGGATTCTGTTCTGAAAGTTTATCAGCAATTGCTGAGGAAAATAGATGAATGTAAAACATGTATCCCTCTTTTCTCAAAACTGAAACTGGGGCTTATAATAACAACAGCAACAATACAATTAAATAATTTAAACTTGAAGTATATGAACAAAATCTCAAAGTGAAATTAAATATATTTCAAAAAACAGTAGCAAAAAAGCCAAAAACATCCAAACAGTAAAAAAAAAAAAAAAAAGCAAGAAAAGAAAAGAAAAGAAAAGAAAAGAAAGAAAGCATATAGAATTATAATGATTAATTAGAGATTAATTAGGCTAATGGCCCTTCCTAAATAATTATGCTTTAAAATCAATCAATTCTCACATGCCTGTTCATTATTTATTACTGGGTTTCAAATGATGACATGTACCCGTCATAGGTTTATCACCTCTGACAGAACAAGCACATCATCTTGTTCTGTCAGCTGAAACACATGGCTGTTCCCAGTTATAGTTCTCATCTTCTGTTAGTTATCAAATGTTGAGTAATCAAGTGATGAATGATTAAGTCATGTGCATAAATATGTAAACGATTTATTCAAATGATCATGACATGCCTTGTAGAAGATGTATCATGTAATAGATCTTCCTTGTGTTCACCTGTTCAGTTCTGAAAATGCTCAGCCTCAAATATACTTCAGGTTCCTTGAAGGAATGGCCTAAAGAAAAAGCTACAATGAATACTGATGAGTCATAGAAATAGGCATATTCCATCTGCATCATCACAGATTCTTTCTGAAAGGATACTTCATGGTAAAGCACTCAGTTAGATGGATTAGTTTGACTCTATGTTTCTATGCTGCAAAGAAGAGGCTTCCACATAAGCTGTTTCCCTTACTATCTACCATGCCATGTGTCTGATGAACTTTAGATAAAGTAAGGCATATTTAGGCATACATTTAGTCTGATAATGGAGAATGTGGATTTCTATTATTCTGAAAGAGAGAAAACCAGAAAGTAAATTCTTCTCTTCTCTTTCCTGTGCTGTGTTTCATATAAGGAGCTGCTTGTCAGTTGATGGTAATGCTGCTGAAAGGTGATAGGACAAATTTTACATATAACTTACCTTAAAGAACTACAGTCATAATGAATGGAGAGAGAGAGAGAGAGAGAGAGAGAGAGAGAGAGAGAGAGAGAGAGAGAGAGAGAGAGAGAGAGAGAGA